CCTCCCTCCCCATCTCTCGTGCTGCATGCCATCTTATGATGAACTGACTGCTCAATTCCTCCTCCTCACACTCCTAGTACTCGTCAGTATTCGCTCCTTCCCCCTGCCTCTCTCCTGCCCCCCCATCTCTCAGTACTCGCTCCTTCCCCCTGCCTCTCTCCTGCCCCCCCATCTCTCACCCTTCTCCTCTCCCGCCTACAGCCATTGCGCGTGCTGCACGTGGGATAGCCCCATATGTTCTTAAAACTATTTTTTGCGTGTAAAACATTTTTTGTGCATTCTACGGAGAGTTGTTGCTCGTTCATACAGGTACTGTTTTATAACATTTTAATAATGTAGTTTCTTGAGTTGTGTACACGTATGAGTCGAGTCGAGCTCTATATACAATTATTGTATGGCAGACACTGGTAGTATCTGACTCTAAAACATATTTGAGTTGATTAGCCCACATCTTGAGTGCTCGAGCAAAAATAAAAATTAAGGACGAAACGTTTCGATTCAAATCATTTAAAATATTTATTAAAGATAAGGCTACTCACCCACCCCACAGTATAAGGAAAAACTACTATATAGAGACCCCACAACCTTGATCACCCCTATAAAACCATAGTAAAAGAGAGGGTTCGTAGTTTGACCACCTACCCCACCGGATCACTCTTGTTATAAACAAACAAAGGGGGGATCCTGAAAAATACCCACCACCCTCGAAATGACTGGAAAAGGACGGGTGATGGTGTCTAGCAGCTCATTATTTTACTACTACAGCTAGCACCCCCCCCTCAACCCTCAAAAGTGACCACAAGATATTATTACTGTATTGCAGTAGAAGTATATAATGTCATAAAACCATTTTTATCATTTTATACTATAAGTGTTTTAGTTACACGCATGTTGCAGCTGGAACCTGAAAAGGCGCTGGGGTGAGTCCATGGTGGTATCTAGGGGGTGGGGGTGGATGTTGGTTTATTGGTGACCCCTAACTATTCAGATATTTTTAAGTCGAGGTGTAGGGTGGGGTACAATTGAAAGGCCTTGATCACACCACCGGTAGTGGTCTGTGAGGGAGGTGGTCCGCAAACAAAGGATGCGAGATTTTCTTCCCAGTACCCCTGCTTTTCATATCTAAATGTCTATGAACAGGGGGTAGGGGTCATCAGATCTTTTGGTTACTCATTCATTCGAGTTCCCTCCGGGCCCCGGCAATCGGGGTTGGTAGTACCCGAATGATGGATGACCGTATTCATGTTTACTCAACTTCTCGGATCCGACCACCCACTGTATGAAAAGGGGCTAAAAGCACCCCTACCCCCTCAGCTAAACTTGAATATCCACCATACTACCCCATTTTTCACTCTATAAAAGAGGGGTATTATACTATGTTTTCCTTTTTCACCCTACCCTCCCTTAACACCATCACTACCCCTACCTCCTTGTGCACTACGTCCCCTTCAATGCTAGCTCTCCCTGCAAGATGGAACGGGAGGAAGAGAGCGAGAGGGGAAGGGGGCGAGGGAGGGGAGGAGGAGACGAGGAGGGACCAGAGTGAAAAGAAGAAGCAACCTGATGTATACTTGAAGGTAGACAACAAGTAACCCCGGAGGTAGATGACATGGAGTGGTTTGCTGGGGACAAAGTGCGCAGGTGCTGAATAGGGAGGTGATAGCAAGGTCATGTCATCTTGATGTCATCACGGAACTTGGTGTTTATGGTTGAACAGGATCTCGTGATGAGAGGAGGGAGGTGGCTGGTGCCAGGACGAGGAGTGAAGGATCAGCACGAGCTTTCATTGAATGATGCCTGCAAGCCCCTGCTCTGACAATCTTGCGGCAGTTGATGAGGACGGACATTCACATGCAAAGAACAAGATAGTACGTATTACACATCATGGCGTCAACCCACGACAAGAACAAGAAGCCCCTGCCAGAGCAGGAACCTATCACAAGCAGCCATGAGAAGATACTGGCAGACCTAGACAGAATCGAGAAGCAGATCTCCAGCAAGTACAGGTCTCAAGCTAACGCAGTCAAGGCAAGCCGCTCTCTTGCTCTCGACTATTGCTGACGGGGATGCTGGCGAGCAGGAGGCTGCTGTTGGGTATCACAACCTCTCCCGAGGTCGCTACGTCTTCCTCAATCAGTTCATGGAGGACATGCAGACCGAACCCAGCGAGATCCAGAACCTGACCAAGAGCGAGGAAATCAGGTTTGCTCGGAAGCTCGCGCAGCAGCGGGAAGGAACCAAGTACATCGTCGGCGCCTTCCTCGGAGGGACTGCCCTCTGTGTAGGAGCAGCTTACCTAGGTTGGTTGTACACCAAGCACACGCTCAAGGTGAAGGACGGTCATGAGTACTCGGAGAGGATGAAGGAGATCACGCCGAGCTACAAGGATGAGCTCCAGCAGGGCTCCTTCGGTCGCTTCATCACAAGCACAAAGGAGTGGATGCAAACGACGTTGAGCGAGATGCCATTGTTCAAGAGCTTCCAGAACGCTCTCAAGTCAGGGTTCGGCGACATCCAGCAAGACATTCATAGGAGACCGTCTGCTGGCTTCAGTGCTAGGACACTGTCAGGAAGTTACCCCAAGGTCGACGTGCAGGCAATCGACCGAAAGCTGAAAGAGAGCTCTGAGCAGTGAGGGGACTACCATGGTCTCGTCTAACTTTCTTCCTTCATTTCACTTGCTTGTAACGCGAAACACTCCAACCCCCGCAGTTTGTACATGGTGATGTTGCAGACGTCACCCGAGCAGGCTCGCCGTCTAGTCTGCAGTTGCAAGTGCAAGTCTATCGATGTGATTCCAAGGAGATACTCTACAGGCAGAATAAAGAATATGGAGACCAATAAGCCCCCGAGGCCCGACAGCTACTCCGAGGGCTTGTTAGAGTTCCCTTCCTCCATCGACAGGCGGAGAGCCTCGGCCAGCATGGCCTCCTCGCTCTCATCATTCTCGCCCATGGCAGTATCCCCGCCTGCCTCGTAAGTCAACAGTCACCTCGGGCCTCCGACAGACAAGACCTTGAGAGGGTTGTGAGCCCTGAGGGGCAGCTGGGGCAGGTGTGGTAGGAGCAGCAGAGGGGGCAGCCGATGGAGCTGCTGGGGTGCTGCTGGTTGAGGGCGCAGGCTGGGTGGGTTGAGTGGCGTGTCCTCCCAGCCCTCCCAGCCCTCCGAAGCCTCCGAGTCCGCCGAGGCCCCCGAGACCTGCCAAGCGGATGAGAGGCGAGCAAGCTTGTGGGTCAGAAAGCACCTCCAAGGCCCTCAAGCCCCTGACCACCTCCCGCGGAGCCCATCATCGACATCATCTGACTCATAGTCTCCGGGTCTTGCATCGCCCGGATCATCTCCGGGTCCTGCATCATCTGGTTCGACTGTCAAGCGCTGGCATCAGTGGAGCATCGGACCTGCTGCATGACCGACTGGAACTCAGGGTTGAACAGAAGAGCATGAGGGTTGCCGCTTTGCATGGCCTCTTGCATGATCTGAAAGAGGAGGCAACTCAGCAGCAGTTATCCCACCCTCACGTTGTACCTGCATCATCCTTGGATTGGAAAGCATCGTTGTAGTCATGTTTCGGATGGCTGGATTCTGCATCATCCTCATGGCCTGCTCCATACGATTCGGATTGAAGCCAGCTGCTCCCATCCCTCCCATCCCTCCGAGGCCTCCCATCCCTCCGAGGCCTGGCGGACTCTACCGTCACAAGATGCTATTGAGCACAGGTAGCACAATAACCAGCAAAGGGTGAAGCAGATTGACCTGACGTGCTTGACTGCAAACTCTCGGGAGTGGCAGAAGCAGCAGCGGCTCCACCTGGCATTCACGCAGTCAGGAAAGGGCACCAGGAGAGGGGCAGCATACCGGGAACTGCCTTCTCCAAGAGGTCGCGCACTTGAACCATTTCGGGAGTGACCTTCATGCATCTCAGCTTACGACACTAGGGGATCGCCGCAGCGTCGACCTCTTCCAACACCAGGTAATCTTCAGGCGGCATCCCCTCAGCGACCTTAAGTTCAAGTCACAAAGGGAATGTCACGGCTCGTCGACCTCTTTGAAACCGAAGGCTACAAGCGCTTCTACTCCTCCATGCTTGTTCCCTAGACGCGCTTGAAAGGTCGTGTTGCCCTTGCCTTTCAACATGTCATCGGTTGAACTCCAACGGCAAAGATTTCTCACGGATTTTGCGATATTTCGGTTCATTGGGATGGTTGACACAGTTGCTGATGAAGGTCAAGAGCGTCTACGGGAAACCTTCAGAGCTGGCAAAACTTCTTTCGCCCTCACCTTTGTAGCAGAAACAAAATCAGAGTCTGATCCACAAGATCTCTTCAGGATCCAGAGGGCTGCTTTCACCTAGAAATAGAATCAGACCAAGACTTGCAACCGTGGAGGGATCACATCTTGTGTCAGTGATTCCGTCTTGCTCGCCTTGGCCCCATCTAGAAGACGGTAAGTAGAGAAAGACAACAGGAAGCCATACCTGCAGAAATAGCTTCAGGGCGAGGTGCATTGCTCGATGTCTTCGGTTTGCGCTCATTTATGGCCCTCTCCAAAGCAACAACATCGGCCCCCACAAACTCGTACGTTCGCTGAAATAAAATTTAGAACACAAGTCAAGGATATCGGTCGAGAGACAAAACTGAACAAGAAAGAGGGAGAGTGGTGCCACCTGTGCATTCACGTAGAAGTGGAAAGTCGGAAACGCTGCAATCCCTGTAGGTGCGCATGAGAGAAAGTGGAGCCTGCGGTCCTGCTTCCACACCTGCCTCCATGGCCAGGGCTTTGTTCTCTCCAGATGCCTCCGTATCCACCTGAGGTTGTCAAACAGTAAGAGTGACCGGCGGACCAACTTGCACACACCTTGACAAAGACGACGTCCTGATGCTTGTACGACAGCGCCTCGAACTTCGGGGCGATGGCTCTACAAGGACCACACCTGTGAACTTGTCATCTCGTCTGAGCGGCTCTCACAACACCAGATGGCATACCATGGTGCCATCCAATCCACAACGACAAGCATGTCCCCAGCCTGCCGCAACCTTGGTCAGGTGGGCAAGGGAGGGCACTGGGATGGACCTGATTCAGGAGCTGCCGCATTTCAGTGGCTCCTCTCAGCAGGTGATTCACTTTCCCGCACAATGATGCGAGTGAAGTATCTTTGCCAGCTGCTGCAGTGGTGGGCGATTTTGCTGCTGTCGCGATGGCCTGAACAGAAAAGGAAAAAGCAAGAATAGAACAGACGACTCAGCTTCACTTAATATAAATGCCACGGTACCTGAGATACGACAAGATGGAGACTGCAGTTTCCTTTGATCTGTAGGCATCGGTCAGTGATATCGATCTGCAACCAACACAAGAATCTACATTGTAGTCAGACAGTCGCTTGGCGTTGTCAAGAACTTTGCCACTGAATATGAGTCTTTGAGCAGCTGACAACAGAATCAATAGCGCAAGAGCGGATCTCTTCCTCTCACCTGCCGCATGGCCGAACATGTTCTCTATCCGCTGCTTCAGATCTTGTACCTGAAGGAAGGATCGTTAGCAGATACAAAGAAGGACCAAACAACAAGTCAAGATGAGCAAGAGTGTGGCCAGAAGGATCAGAATTGCTGCTCACTGTAATCTCTGCAGATGGAACGGTTAGCTTCCCATTTCCTTCTCCTAGGGATCATAGTGAGCACTAGGACATCTGTTCAGAGATGGGTTGAATTTCTATACATACCGGACACGTTTGACTTGATATTAATCTCGAATTCTTCGGTGGACATTTTGACATCGGGGTTCGGAGGGACAACCGGAGAAGTGTTTGGCGGCTGTAAGAGCGAAAGTGAGCCGCAGAACGCTCATGTAAGATACTGTACCATGGTCTCCTCCATGGGCGCTATCGCCTGGGATGGAGTTGACGGTACAGCCTGCTGGACGGTCAAAACTTTACCGGCCTGGACTTGAATTAGGTTATCACCTGGGTGACTTTGGGGGCAGAAGCTTGTGCTGGAATTGGCTGTTGAACAATGTCCGACATTCTCTGCTCAGCTACCGGAGGAGAGGCAACGGCTTCCATGAGTCAGTGCAAGGATGCTGAGACTTTGGCGTGTACCTTCTGATTCCTTCATCACTACTTCGTTCTGATCATTTTCAGCATCAGCGTAAAAACTTGCAGATGAACAGAATCAAACCTGATGTTGTTGCTTTTGCTCTTGTGCTTGCTGTCTCAACCGTTCAGCTTCCGCTGCCTGCACACCAGGAACAAGATAAAATGTCAGTGGATGAATCGGCGCTAGTAACTCGTCACCTCTCGGGCAGCTTTGGCAGCATTCTCTGCCTCCTGGGCTCTGACTTTCTTCATGTGCGCTTCGAAATCTGTCATGAAAGTTAGATTAAGACGAAATGGGCGGAGTCGGCATCAACCACTGCTGATCTTTTCTGCAATAGAGTTGAACCTAGGTTGGAGAGAATCAAACCGATCGCAAAGCGCTAGAACTTTGATGGCCATCTGCTCGCCGTAGGTGCGCTTCGTCTTCAGTAGGCATGATGGAGTTTAGTCTAGCAACACCGAAGCAACACAACATGTCTCACAGGGTCGCTCTCTTGAGCAGCCTTGCGCAGCTTGACCACGTTGGATCCCATCTCGTCAACCCTGAAGAATCAGTCAAGAGATGAGGAGAGAAGGAGCAAGGAGACAAAGGAGGCTCACATAGATGTGAGGTTGTACAGCTTGTCCTTGGCACATGTCACGTCGCCCTCGTTTTCAATTGCTGACATCTGGGCCTCCAGCTCTTCCATGTTGGCTTCGGTTCGCTTGAATAGCGTCATGCTGGCCAAATCAAAGATGTCAGGGCTTTGGAAGAATCACATGACCCTACATCTCCATTCCATTCTTGGCACTAGACGTGCGCGTTCCGTGAAGCTCACATCTCTCTCACTCAGCCTAGTGCGGACTATCAACCATGCCTTGCTTGCAACCCTTCCTCCCCTTCCTCCCCTTCCTCCCCTCACGACTATCATCGCTTTCGTTTCGGCGCCGCTCTTCACTGCACTGCATCTTTCCTCGTATCTCAGCATTGTCAGCCTCATCGCCATTATCGTCCTCCTCCCTTACTCGCCCTTTTGCCATGGTCCTTTGTTGCCATGCCGGGACACCTCATCTTATCGATGGTCCCCAGCAAAAGGACTACCCCTACCCATATTTCTCGTTTCAACATCATCGTGTAAGGAGGAGGGTAGATACCTTATCAATTTCAATTTGAGAAGACTTATACTTCACAGAGACTCTGCGGGTATCTCAGAAATAGATGACTACCCCCTACCACTATGTTCATAACCACCACCCTACGATGGTTCTCGATTGCGGGCTCCATGGACATTTCTATAACTAAACTCTTGAGCTGAACTAAATCCAAAACCTAAACCATCACGAGCTAAACTAAACCTCGTTGCCTGAGGCGGGCTGGAGTGTCAAGCTGTCCCTGACAAATCTTCTCATCTCTTCTCTTCTCATCTCTTCTCTTCTCTCCTCTTCTCATCTCATCTCATCTCATCTCATCTCATCTCATCTCATCTCTTCTCTTCTCTTCTCATCTCATCTCATCTCTTCTCTTCTCATCTCTTCTGATCTCATCTCTTCTCTTGTCATCTCATCTCTTCTCTTCTCTTCTCTCCTCTTCTCATCTCATCTCATCTCATCTCATCTCTTCTCTTCTCTTCTCTTCTCTTCTCTTCTCTTCCTGCTTGCCCTCGCTGTCCACTAGCTTACATTGCCCATCCACACTCCCCTGCTTGTTTGGCGCCCGCGTCCCGTCCCCTCCCCAGGAGACTGCGAAGAAATCGATGCATGCTGCTCGAGCCCACTGGTGGTGCAACTTCATGACGCTCGCGTCGAAGCTCTTGTACTCCCCTAGGACGGGCTCGAAGGGTCGAGGGAAGACCTGTAGCAGGAGCAAGGTCAGGCTCTGAAGCCTCCGAGAGGTCGTGACAGTGCCGTCAGAAATCCCCAGGATGCAGTCACTAGCACAAGACAGCGAAGGATCCCACTAAGACTGCTCTGTGAATCCTAGTTCATGCTCCTTGGCGGCTTCACCAACTTCTGCACTGCAAGACTGACTGCAGCGTTCTTCATTCTTCACCAACTTGTGCACTGCAAGACTGACTGCAACATTCTTCTCATCATAGTCTCCTCGCATCACACTCTTTCACATGGCTTGGGCCCAGCCTCAACTCGTACCTTGCCAGCAGACAAGGAACCTTCTCTCTTGCTTCTTTGCATTCATGCTCTTCTCTGACACACATTCTCGTCTACAGCATCATTTTCCTCCTTTCGTCTTTCCCTCTGGAGCGACTTGGTTCTAGACTTTGAGATTTGAGAAAGGAATTGTATTAAGTCACGGCATTTATCATATGTAGATAACCTGAATGTAAACGAGTAAACTCAATGATCCTGAACTTCAACACAAGTCTCATTCGTTCCATCGTCCGTCAGCTACCTGTGAACGCACGCGGCAGGCAGAATCATGACAACCGAGCCCGACGGCCTGTGACGAGTCAACGGCCTCGGCGAAGCAAACCCTCCGAGTCCGATCAGATCACGGTATGTCTTTTCACTCCATGACTGTGATCACCGTACCAGCCAGGTCCGCAATAATACCGTACGGTGAATGTGACAACTTGACACGCCAGGAAAGAAGAGGGAAGGCAACCTTGAAGTTTTACAACCTACGAGCTACTTCCCGCCTCTGTCCTCCACAGAGTCTCCGCTCGCCTCGTACTAGCTTGCTCTCCCGTCAGTCTCCCGTCTAGGCTTGAATTCCTACATTGAACCTCCCCGTAATCCCACTGGCTCAAGACATCTGAATGGGCGTCAGAGCATGCAAGAAGCATCCCAAACGGTTTCACGGGAAGCGTTGGAAGCGTTCTCCTCCCCTTGCTGCAGCCTCCCATCGAGCGAGAGCGTGATCGGAAATTACGGCTGTGAATCCTGCCCAGCGCCGTATTCCACCTACTATTCCGGCAGCACTTCGTTCAGCGACTGCGTCTGCGGCTCTGGATTCTACAGTACGGCGCGCGGCGGCCAATGGAACATGCGTGCCTTGCCCGGATTACCTTCTGACGACCAACGGCTACGCTCCCTGCCCTTTTAACACTTACAAGTCCGAAAGGGGCGCCGGAAGCTGCCAGAAATGCCCCGTCGGACGTGCTACAGCGCATCTCCCCTGCTCTGCCCTGCCGGCCTGCATTCCTTTGAAGGTGTGACGGATCTGGAGCTTTGCCTTTGCCCTGTTGGATACTACAAAGACGTATATCTACGATGCTGGTCAGCCCGATAAGATGGACGCAGACTTCTCGGGCCTGGCAATCCGCGTACCTGTGGGCCTGCAACGATCAAGAGCAACCTTGGCGACGTCTGCGCTCCCTGTCCTATTCTGAAGCATACGCTTTGGACAAGGCCTGCAATCGCTGTCCCGCCTTCACCGCTTCCGCTGCTGGCTCTTAGACTGCCAGTGCGTAGCTGGCTACACCAACTTCGATGGTTCCAATGGATGCGTCCCGTGCGCTGCCGGAAAGTACAAGAAATATATCGCTTCCTTCAACTGCATGCCCTGCTCTGAACATTACCGATTGTCCTGTGATTTTTAACTTAAAAGAAAGGCTACCGGCGGCAGCAAAGCTTCCGTTATGAGGAGTCAACGGATATTTTCCCGCCTTTTTTCTACCCCCTACCCCCAAATCTCTGATGAGGTACCCCTGGCAGCATCCTGGTCCACAAACTTGCTCATGGCAGCGTCGGAGGGAGCGCTGGAGGCTCTAGGCAGACAGCTGGAAGCTCTGAGGCTAGATAACGACAAGAGGTTTCAAGCCTTGGACGACAAGACTCGAGCTTTAGAGCAAGATAACACTACTTTAAGGCGCGAGAAACAAGAGTACGACGACAAGATTCGAGCCTTGAGAGAAGAGTACGACGAGAAGATTCGAGCCTTAAAAGAAGAGTACGACGAGAAGATTCGAGCCTGAGTACGACGACAAGATTCGAGCCTTAAGAGAAGAGTACGACGACAAGATTCGAGCCTTGAGAGAAGAGTACGACGACAAGATTCGAGCTTTAGAGCAAGATAACACTACTTTAAGGCGCGAGAAACAAGAGTACGACGACAAGATTCGAGCCTTCAGAGAAGAGTACGACGAGAAGACTCGAGCCTTAAACGTATCTGAGCTCACGAAACAAATAGCGTGCAATCTACGATTTGGTTACTTTGACGACCTTTGCTCTACCTTTCTCCAGCTTCCAAAGGCTCCTGCAGTATTTCGGCAAAACGTTTGTCTGGCTTTTCTTCAGGCCGCGCAGAACTTACCCGCCGATAAAGATTGCAAGAAGGGACATGACAGGGAGAAAGCTTTTGACCTGGAGGGCTGTAAAGTTAACTCAGGCTTGGTAGAGCGATCGCACTTGGTCCCAAACAGTGCTGCATGTCGAATCGACTGGGGGATTATTGTGCAGAATGCTCTTCCAGAGGGCTTGCGGTCGGATGACGTCGCTAAGAAGGTTTTGTTTGGGTGTTATGATGAGGACAACAACCACATACCAGGCATTGCGGACCTTCCTTTCAACTTTATCTTCCTTGGTGGCCAACGCGAACATTTGGACAGCAAAGCAGCTCTGATGTTGCTTCCACTCCTATCTCCTCAGCAGCAATTCGAGTGGAAAGGCGAAGGGTACAAAGCGATTTTGATCGGTGTTGACAAAAACGTCTACAAAGAAACTTTCTTTCAACTTGATACTGAAGCTGTTCTGAAGAACTCAGAGTACGAACAACATCATTTGGACGAAGAGTCTCTCGTCAAGGAAATCTGCCGTCCGATGAAGCAGAAGTATTTGCTTCCCACCTTGTATCAAGGTACTGTAGCATTGAATGTGTTGACCGTACCAATGACATGTTCTAGATGACAGGGAGGTGCTACATCAGGCCCTACAGCACATTCAAATTCTTTACAAGGACGTTTGTTTGATTCAGTGCGAAGCTCCCAAAAGTCTGGAAACGCTGCTGCAAGAAAACAGATTCTGGAACCAAGACTCCAGGCGTTTCCTTTCCAAAAAAGTCTCAGGGTGCGATAAGCTCAGGGATAAGTTGACAAAGGAGAAGAAAGTCAAGGCTTTCGAGGGACTTAAGTCTGAAACTGGGCAGCCAGTGGCGGCGGCACTGCCATGTTTTCGCGTGATCACGTTCAAAGGAGACAGTCAGGAAGAGCAACATATAGAGCTTCACACGGCACCACACCCTCTTCTTCTTTCGCTCCGATCCATGAACGCAATGACGAATTATTTTTACGGAGATTTGCCAAATGGGAAATCAAGTCTGCTGCTTATGTCTTGTTACGGCGGCCTGGAGGAAGGGATGGCATTCGATTGTTCACAATGCTTGCGAAACGCGTTTGGCGAAGAATACGACCCGAAAGAGCAATATGTCATGGGACCTGATGGCCCTGAGATTCTGTCTTGCGGTAATCCTGTCCAAGGTGCCGCGATGAGTCCAGAAAACAGTCCGGAGGCGTTACAGTATGCGGCTGGGCGTCAGTGTGGATCGAATACTAGCGCATCTCCCACTTCGAGTCAAGAGTCGGAATGTAGCGCCGCGAGTACTGTCCAAAGGGACCTTTTTGACTGATCAGTGAAGTTTTAAGGATGATGGTGTGCTACATCAGATTATGACTTAGCATCATTTTAGGCATAGTTGTACATTAGTTCTACATATCTTTAGAGTTGGCTCATCGGCCATCTGCATGCAGAGATTAGCACGGGAGATTCTTCCTTGCATGCTCCACTGTTTTCTTCTCTTGTTACACAACCTCCTCACCTCGCCCTTTCTTTTTCTCTCTTGTCGCAACCCTCTCTTCCTCTCCACCCCTTGCTCTACCCCTCCCCCCCCCTCCCCTCTCCTCTCTTGTCTCTTCTGACCTCACCTTACTCCACCTCAGCCTCTTTCTTTTGCTCCTTTTCTCCCCTCCCTTCTCATCTCATCTCATCTCATCTCATCTCATCTCATCTCATCTCTTCTC